CGTGGAGATTTTTGTTGTTGTACCACAGTAGTGACCAGCTTCTTTTGGTGCCTACAGTACATCAATAGGGTACTGTTTTTATAATCACACAACATTCCAATGAATATTAAATAAATGAGAAAATTCTCTATGTACTGATATGGAATGAGCTGTAAGTTACATTGTTAGTTGGAAAAGCTGCAAAAGAAAGTGAAAAATATATTATTATGTACTTGCAGGTGATTGTGGATGTGGTTTGTCTGCACACACTCTTGATTAGCAATGAGAAGTGCCTAAACATAATATTGATTGCTTTGGGGGACAGAACTGGGTGTTCAGGGAAGAAATAATGTTTCAAACCTACACAAATACAAATAATAAACAACTTGTGGGAAAACAGCAAACATCATTAACAGAATAAAAAAATAACAAAAAAATAGGGTTGGAAGACAATCATTGTTAAAATAAGCCTAAATTTAATAATATGCTAGACAGAGTAATCTGAAACTGGGAATTCTGTTTTGGTGGCGATGTCACTTGAAGGATAATAGTAATATTAAAAATAATAACATAATTACAGTTCTAGTAACAATATTTATGTTATGCTTGCTGTTTATTACAAAGTATTTAAATATATATCTTTCATACTGTGAATGTCATAATTAATTTTGGTGTTTCACCATTTTAGAGATGAAGAGACTGAAATTAAAAAGCACTCAAAACATTCACATATATTAAGAGATATTAAGGCCAAAGTTAAAACTCAAAATGCATGTGCTTACTACAAATAATTAAAACTTACAAGTACAATTAAAAGGGGGAAAAAGAGCTGTTGGCACCTATAAATTCAAATAGAGTAAGAATAAGATCCAGAAATTGAGAAAAAGGAAGATTGCTTCAAATGTTGTCTGAAAATTTCAGTGTTTGTACATGAAAAGTGACATAGATATAGGTCACCATTGTCAAGTTATTATCCGCATGCCATTCTTTTTATATCCTGACTCCTAGAAGGACTTTAGTGAATAGAGGATGTTGTCAAATTATATAAAGAAAAGCAAGATAGTTCCATGACTCATTCTGACTTCTACTTACAAAAGAAATATTAAATGTAAAATAGATGAATGGATGAAGGATTTGGAAAACATTTAACTTAATCATAAGTAATAAAAATAGATAATTTCAACAATATACAATACAAAATGACTAAATCATAAAAACAACAAAAGAATCACATGGAATCAGTATATTTACCTTTATGCCATGGTATTATCATAATTACTGGGTTGTCGGAAAAGTCATGATGTATTTTTCTATGTTTTTCAAGCAAAAATCCGTCATGACTCTTCTGACAACCCAGTAGTATGCAAATGAAATAGGTAACTGTACCTTTATAGTGAACTGTGGTCTTTCCAAGACTACTTTTCCCATTTTGGGGTTCCATACATGTGGGGCAAAGTTAATGTAACTACAGGATTCCATCCAAAAAATTTAGCAAAGGTAATAGGACCTATGAGGAAAAATTCAGGGCTTGGAGGTTTTAAATGAACTGAAAAGGGAAAAGTTAAAGAGGGACTTATTACTGTAAGGGGGTGATATCCAACAGCTGTTCTCCTTTTCCAGTGAACCAAGAGGAAAAGGAGACAGGCTTCAATTGTAGCAAGAGAAATTCAGATTTGACATCTGCTGAGTTGACATAATGACCCTATTTTTTTGGAAGTGGAAAAAAGAAGAAATCCATGAGTTAATATTTGAAAGCATCATTCAAACAATTTCATAAAAGACAAAAATCTAATCATGCCAATACATTCTGTAAGAAGAAACAAAAACATTTATTTATGCCTAAGAAGTATTTTACGTTGCATCATTTCATAGTATGCTAAATAAATCTTTCAGATCAAAGTATTTAAATCAACAGTTCCATGTAAACTAGGCATAAGGTAGAACTTAATCACTGGAATTAGTACAGAATGTGCTGAAACTATTTACAGGAAGTTTCAAGAATAAACTATGTTTATACATAGGCAAAAGAAAAAATGCTAGGAAAACATTCACTTTTCTTTCTAATACTAATACTGCCTGTAATAATAAAGTTAATCTTTCTTGGAATAAATTAGGAATCTTTTCAAGTGTCAGTGGCTATGTTCAAACTAAGTGACTATAATATTAAAGACTATTTCTTTTGTAAAGGCTGTCATAACAAGATATTGTGATTCTTTGAATCCTAGTCTCCTGTGGCATTTAAAAGAGGAACAACAGGAAATAATGAGTGGTAAATTTATTTATGCAGGAAATGTATATAATGATGGCACTGGCCTCTTTCTCCTATCACACATCACCTATTTTGAAACCCTTGGGACTCCTTTCATTGATATACTCCCTTAATCATTATTCTCTGTGTGTACTAATCTTTATCATATCTGAACAAAATGAAGTACATATTTGAAAACTATTAGTAATATAATAATAATTTCATTTACATATCAAATTCTCCAGCTCCTGAATCGCAGTTCTTGGAATCAAGAAATGAAAGCTCATGCCACCTACAGCCAATTTTGCCTGAAGCTTGGTCTTATGTGTTTGATTACTTCTACATATTTAAGGCATATGCTTTTTGAGAAGGCACACTACATATTTTTAGAATTTCATCACTCAAGGTCACAGCTGGTTAATACCAAACACCACTCATTTCCAAATTTTAATGACCATCAAGCACAATTCTGCACATCACAGAAACAGATATTCTCATGCTCAGTTAATGTGCAACACAAAAACAGGCAAAGATAAGCAAAAAAAAACAAGGTACTACATCTCAGCTACTGTACAGCAAAGAGAGAGGAATAGTAAATATTCCTTCAGTTCTCTTTTTGCCTACTCTTTTATGAGAAACAGCATAGCAATACAGTGTGGATATTCAAACACATACTCTTGAAAATTTCAACACTACTAAAAATCTGTGAAAGCTAAGTTTATTAAATAGCCTTGCACTGAGGAAGTGCTGATAGCAATAGTGTAGCCTAAATTTCTCCCTTTTCCTCACCCTTTTTCCCTGGGCTATTTCAAACATTTCCCTCACTATTACACATTTGCCTAAAGTTAATAATGTCAGTGCGGGGACAATGTGGGGACCTAATGTTGAGACTAATCTTTACAGCATCTGAAATAATGCAAAGTTATAATAATCCCTATACATTCAAAAATGCCTGAAATGGTGTACTAACATTCTTGTTGCAAAAGGTTTTAGTTGTCATGGTTTTCATGCAAGAACCAAAAGTGAAAAATTGGTTTTAAGAATAAAAGCTTCTTAACAAAGCAAATGTAGAAATCATTCAAACTGCCTATCTTGACTGAAGTTACATTCATAAGAGATGGTTCCCATATGCAGGGAAAAAGCTTTGCCTGTTCTTGCATTTGCTTGGCACTCGGGGCCTATTTATTACTTCATACACTTGGACTCAATAGCAGTTAGCACATAGTTAGAGTGGGGGGAAGAGGTGGTACTGTGGTAGATATACTCTGAGTGTTAGCAAATGTCACCTAATTGTAATTTATTAGGTTATCAAGTCCAGGTAACAGGAAAGTCAAAGAATATGACTTTACAAAATTTGTCCTATGAAATACTCTTTACAGTCTAAGAAATTGTAAGGAGAAATTTACTCCATTGCAAGTTAAACTTCTAACACCCAAGACGGTTTTTCTTAGAGTAATAAAATCTGCTTTATATCTATCGACTGAAATTTTATATTTTTTTTTTTTTTATTTTTTTTTTAAAGGAGGCATGCTTTATTTATTTATTTGTTTGTTTGTTTGTCTGTTTGGTTACACATGCACTGGGTACAGTCAGAAGCGCGGGAGGGCGAGAGAATTCACCAGAGCCAGAGTGGGGAGCAGAGCAGGCAGAAGGACCGAAGCACACTGCTGAGGGGAGCAGCGGGCGGCAGGAGAGGTCTGCGCGCCATGTGGGACCCTCCTCTGGTGGCGGGGGAGCAGCCGGGGATCGAACCGGCGCTGCAGAGGCTGCGGGCAGCTTCTCAACCCAGCGCTCAACCGCTGCGCCACCGGGGAGGCCCATCGACTGAAATTTTAGAGTGAAAAGAAGGTTTGAAATTTCTCTGGTAGGGGATTCCACCAGAAGAATTATTCAATGAAAATGTTGTGAATGATTCACAGAATGCTGTAATTCCTACTTTAGACTGTACCTGTTATCAAATGATTACATAGAGAGGTAGCAATTTGCCAAATAATTTAATTGCATCCATTTACATTTTGTAATCCACTGAGAGTAAATGCAAAGTAAAATATAGCTTTCAAATGATAACATTACAGTGGCATATGCTCTCTTTTCAAAGGCGATTCCTCTTCATCTCATTTTTTATTTTCACATTTATCCAATGAGGTAACTGGAGAAGGCATCGTATTTTATGTATGTTGGCTGACTCAATGCTCCCATCTGTCATGTGTAAGAACTTAATGTTCGTGTGGGACAATGAAGGTGATACTGATGTTGATGATGACTGATCCCCAGGCGCACAGTGAGACTGTGTCTTTGTACAGACTAGATCATGGACATACTCCAGTCTCTTCCCATAATACAGTCTGAAAACACTGATAGGGTATGTTAATAGCCAGAAAGTTACCACATGTGAGAATTATGAACCACTCTAAGTCAGGGCATTGGCTCATAGATGGCTGGTATTTTGAGAAACCAGAGCTATGGCTGAGGTAATATTAAGTAGGGATTTAAATACTTGGCACCATCAATATATTTACTCAGGAAAGATCATTCCAGTTCTGTCTTTGCTTTTCTCCTCTAAATTCTTTGTCCTTATTCTTCACCTGAATTAAAAGTGAAGATACAGCTGCAAAGACTTGAATCTACTAGGGACAGGGAAAGGTCAATAGGACAAATTTAAGGATCTTAATGCGATCTATACAAACACAAAATAACTAGGAAATGGATATGCAGGGGATAAATAAAAAGTAAGTTGTTAATAACTCTGATTTATGGTCTGAAGGGGGCCTACCTCAGCACAATGACTGGAAGTGATGTCATAGTAAAATAGCATGCAGGTTGTCAGGTATGGTGTTTATGAAATCAGATAGCTCTGCTGATACTTAATAAGAAGGCAGAGAAGTCGTGAAGAGAAGGCAGCTGTTTCTATGTGTTGCTATCTCATTAATTCAGTGATCTAGATTAAAAGCGCAGTTTTATATCAACTAGAAAAATAACCTCATTGACTTCAGTTTGTTACTATCATACATAGCCTGGGAAAAGATTTAAGAATTATCCCTATTAACCAATTAGAAATCAAATGAGAAGGGGGAGGAAAAAAGAAAAGAAAGAGGACAGATTCTCAACATGAGCACTATTAAATATTCTATCAGTAAAAGAAGTGTCATTCCTTCTGTCAAGACCAACACATTTAGTGCATGTCCTTCAATGTTACTCACTGGGCTCGTGTCCATGTATTCTCTGGAACAACCTTATCAAATTGTAACTAGCACATGCTAGTGTGGGTAAGTTGATAACATGCAGGTTCTGAGTCAGGAGGCCTGAGCTGCCAGGAGACAGATTCATAAGTTGCTACTCCAGGTACCACACCTTGAGAAGCACTGATGCAGGGAATCCATATTAGCTTAGAGGAAGTCTTAACAATAGCACTTTCCTTCCTTTTCCACATGGGATCATAATGAAGAGGTAAAATACTTTCCTTAAATGAAACATCTACTGAGGACTTACATCCTCATGGTGTAAGATCCCCACTCTAAGCAGATATTCTAATCAAAGTGATGCTATGCTCAAAGGAGGCTACACAGTAAGTAACTATGATGCTGCAATATTTTTTAGATAGATACTAAGCAGAATGTAAGGTGTTTTTGTTCCCGTAACCCAGCTGCCTCATTGGTGGGAGCCTGAAGAAGCAGTGGTGTTCTTTCAACCTGCTGCTCACCACAAGTCAGTTGTGGCTGTTGCTCCTCAGAGCCCAGTAACTGCCTTTTTGTCAGTGTGGCAGTTGTTCCTCAGAGAACTTTTATGTAATAGTGTACTTCCTGGATCGTGGAATGAACCAATTAGGGCAAGCTATGAGCTGATTGGTGTTAAATGGTCCAATCAGACTTTTGTTATCAGGACCCAACCTCTCACCAGAAGTCACTTGTGGCATTTGCTCCTCAGAGTCCTTTATGTAAGCGGCACTTCTGGATTGTGGAATGGACCAATCAGGTGCTATGGGCTGACTGGTAAATGGTCCAAGCAGTCACAGGATTGGAAAATGATCCAATCAGACTTGTGGGTGGGGCACCCTGAAAGAGGATGATAGTCAGGGTCAGAGACAGCTGAGTGGAGACACAACCCCAGCTCCTGAAGGAAAAAACTGCCGATGCCAGCCCCTGAAGAACACAGTTCCAGCCTCCAAAAGAAGAAAGAAGGGGAAGACTGTCCATTCCTGGCCTCTGAAGAAAGAGGAAAAAAAGCATCCAGCAGTCACCTTCTGAGGAGGGAGCAAAGCCAAAGACTTTTGCAGAGACTGGGCCTCTGGTTCTGTCTCTGACATTGCTTTAAAGGAGCACCAAAGGCCCTGAGCCTGGTGTCTCAAAGAGCTGTTTGTTGGTATAACCCAATGACTCACAAAGGGCTGTTAACATGGGATGTCTCTGACACCTCCTCTGAGGGATCAGTAGAGACCATCACTACTGGCCAGTGAGGTTCAGCACTCCTGGTAAACAGTGGCAACCATCAGTGATGCTATCTGGGCTCACCACTTGTAGTTTACAGCCGCTACCTGTAGCTACAGTAAGCTCTGTGTTTCCCCTGTTTGTAAAGTAAACCCCATGGTTGTTGCTCCTGGAGCCTGAGGTTTCTTGCAATTGTGTGCGTGGGTGAAAACCCACAGACAGTGACCTGTCCTCTTATCGGACACTGTCCCTTGTTAGTCTATAGGCCCCTATTGTGGGGTGTTGTATTGCTATAGCGCTTGGTTTTGTTTTTTGGCCTTTTGGGGCTTTTTGGTGGCTCTCTGCTCTCAGAGCACAGGCAGTCGTTCTATCCTTCCGTCCAGCACCCTGCCTTGTTGCGCTTTTGCCTGCCCCTGTTTCAGTTTCATGATGGAATCTTTAAACAGAAATGATGAAATTACAGATTTGCACACTGTCTATCATCACACTATAGTTCTACAGAAGTGTGATTATCTTTCAAGGGTGTTTTAGTAGCGGGTATTTTGTTTTTCAAAGGAAATCCCTCATCCCTCTCTGTAATCAATATTCAAGTATGTGACAGATACATAAAAGGAGAATCCCACTCCTCAGATACTGTCATGGTGTATGACTCTAGGAATATCCTGTAGGTTCTGCAGAAGAAATGACTTCTCACCTTAAACAAAAACGTGAGACTTGGGCCTCACACTTAGAGCAAACCACAAAATGAGTCTTTGCTCCTCAGTATTGGTTTTCAGCTCTATTAACTCTGTCCCTTCCACTCCATTTCCCTCACTGCCAACAGTGATTTTGCATAAATATCACATTTCTGGTGTTACATTCCTACACAATAAAACCTCAGCGTTTTCTACTGCTTTAGAAAATAGCATAAATGTGTGTTAATAAATATTAACACAACATTCAAGATTTCCAATAAAACATGCCTTCTAATTGGCTCTGTGACAAATCTAGTACTCTGTTTTATTTTCTCCAACTTCAAAACAAGCATATGCGATTAAACTGCTATGTGATTTATAGTGTCACATCTTACACCTAAGTCTTTAATCCATTTTGAATTAATTTGTGTGTATGGTGTTAAATAGTAGATTAGTTTCATTTTATTAGATGGGGCTGTGCAGTTTTCTGAGTACTACCATTTTTGAAAAACTCTTTATTCCACTGTAAACTCTTGTCTCCTTTGTTGTAAATAAGTTGTCTGTATAAATGTGGTTTTACTTCTGGGTTCTCAATGGTTCTGTTCCATTGATCTGTATCTCTGCTTTTATTCCAGTACCAAGCCATTTTAATAAATACCACTTTGTTCTATAGTTTGAAATCAGGTAGCCTATACCTCCACTTTTGTTCATTAATCTCTGGAGGATTTTTTGTTTTTTTTTTTTTTTGCTATTTCAAGTCTTTGATTATACCAAATACATTTCAAGATTTATGTTCCACTTGTGAAAAGAATGTCTCTTGGATTTTAATAGGGATTGCATGGAATTTAAATATTGTTTTAGGTAAGACAGACAATTAAATTATATTAATATTTCCAATCCATGAGTATGGAATACCTTTCTCTCTCCTTGTGTCTTCTTCTGTTTCTTTCTACAGTTTTTTTTACAGCTTTTGGTATACAGTTCTTTCAATTCTTTGGTTAAATGTAGTACAAAGTATTTAATACTTTTTGATATGAGTTTAAATGGGATTGATTCTCATTTCTCTTTCTGCTAGTTCATTGCTTGCGTAAAGAAATGCAGCAGACACTTGTATTTTAATTTTGTACCCATCGGTTTCCTATATTTGTTTAGTATTTCTTAGAGTTTTACACTAGCGTTTTCAAGATTATCTGTGTATATTATCATGTCCTTTGCAAACAGTAATAGTCTTACTTCTTCAGTTCCAATCTGGATACCTTAATATCCTTTTCTTCTCTAATTACTTTTGCTAGGACTTCATCACTATATTGAATAGTAGTGGTGAGAGTAGAAAACCTTACCTTGTTCCTGATTTTACAGGACAAGCTTTCAGTTTTTTGTCATAGAGCTTTTGTCATCCACAGTTTTTGCTGTGGATTTGTCACCTATGGCTCTTAATATGTTGAAGTATATACTTCTACACCTATTATGTTGAGTTTTTATTAAAATAGGATGGTGAATATTATCCAATGTTTCTTTCTATGTCTATGGAGATGATTATATGACTTTTGCCCTTCCTTTCGTTGAATTGGTAAATCATATTTTGAACCATCTTTGCATTTCTGCAATAAATTCCACTTGATCACCATGAATGTTTCTCTAAATATATTGCTAACTTTATTTGTCAAGATTTTGTTGAGGAACTTTACATCTATGTTGATCAGAGATATTATTTTGTAGTATCTGTCTCGTCAATTGATATCTGCCTCTATTGGGGGCAAAGCAAGGAACTTCCTCATTTCTTGGTGACATCAACTCTCCTCCTCCCAAAACAATTTCTAATTTTCTTTCCACTTCTTGGTATATCAGTTACATAGAAGCATGCTATTTAATTTCCTCATATTTGGGGCCTCCCTAGTGGCCCAATGAATTAAGTCTCAGCACTATGAAGCTATTGGCAGCCACTGCAACATGAGTTTGATTTCTGGCCAGGGAGCTAACCCACATGGTACAGCATACCTCTCCTGTTTCACCTTCAGCAGTGTATTTCAGTCGATCCGCCTGCTCTGCTCCCACTCTGTCTCTGGTGAATCCTCTCACCCTCTCCCCCCTCACCTCTGGCTTACACCCCAGCTCTTGCATGCATAAAGTAAATCTTTTTAAAAAATAATAATTTCCTCATATTTGTTGATTTTCAATATCTAAGAATGGTTCAACATACACAAATCAATCAATGTAGTCAACCAGATTAAAAATAAATGTTGTAAGGAAATAAGTGAAAGATATAAAATAGAGAGATGAATAATTTTTAGTGTCAATGTCATTCATATTCTTTTAATCTTATTTGAAAATATCACAAGCTCACAGTTATTGTAAGACCTGAACATATGTACAGAATTTAATATAAATTTTACATGAAAATATAAGAAAATGAATAAATCATTTAGTGTTTTTAAAAAACATTTGGCTAAATTATAATGAAATAACCAGAGCAGAAATTCTAAAAATAATTTATAATCAAAGAAATGTAAAATGGTTATTTATCAAAAGAAATTATCTTTGGGAAAATTTGTCAAAAGAAGTTATCTTTGGGACAAACTGAGAGTAATTATTTTTAAAGCATCATTATGGACATATTTTCTGTTAGCATGCCTGTACTTATTAGGGACACAGGTAACATTATTTAAAAAGAAGGACCGCCTAGGTTTAAGTATTGCAAGAATATGCCATCTTCTATAACCAATGTATTCTCAACCAGTGATAAGTGATTTGAACATAGACAACTATTGTCATTTTAGAGAACACTAAAACAATGAGCTCTTTCCTTCATGAATCACTTGTTATATCTAAAATAATGCCAATTCAATTTAAATAATTGCTCAAGTCTAGACAAATAAATTCAACATGCTTCTGGTATTTTACTAGTCAATTATATTTTATTCTAACATATGTACAGAATTTAACATAAATTTTACATTTGAATATGAAGTCTTATCTATTTAAAAAATAAAACAACAAAGATGCATTCTATGCATATCGATACCTGCTAGTGTTTGGTATTATTTGTTGCTTAAACTTTTCACTGTAACACAAAGTTCAACTCAAAATGGATAAAAGACCTGAATGTAAGACCTGAAATCATACCATACAAATATATATAAAAGAAAACATAGGCAAAACACTGGATGACATACATTTCAGAAATATCTTTAAAGACATCCTCTAAGGCAAAGAAAATGAAGGAAAAGAAAAAGAGCTGGGGCTATAGCAGACTGAAAAGCTTCTGTACAGCAAAAGAGACAATAACCAAGACAAAGAGATACCTGACAGACTCAGAGAAAATATTTGTACTCCACAAAACTGATAAGGGACTGATATGAAATATTTAGAAAGAGTTTATATAACTCAACAGAAACAAAATAAAGAATCCAGTCAAAAGGTGGGCAGAAGAGCTAAAAAGACACTTCTCTGAAGAGGAAATGCAGATGGCCAACAGGCACATGAGAAAATGCTCAACAGCCCTTAAAATTAGGGAATTTTTTGCAAATAAAAATCTCAATGAGATATCACCTCACATCAGTAAGAATGGTCCACATTAGGGGCCTCCCTGGTGGCACAGCAGTTGAGCGCTGGGTTGCGAAGCTGCCCGCAGCCTCTGCAGCACCGGTTCGATCCCTGGCCACCAGATGAAGGTCCAACATGGCGTGCAGACCTCTCCTGCCGCCCGCTG